TCGTCGCTGCATAACACGAATGTGTAAATATTAAACCACACTTACCCGTACATGGTTTTTACTGCACTTATCTGTACATGGTTGACCACACTTATCTGTACATGGTTGACCACACTTATCTGTACATGGTTCACCACACTTATCTGTACATGGTTGACCACACTTATCTGTACATGGTTGACCACACTTATCTGTACATGGTTGGACCACACTTACCCGTACATGGTTTTTACTGCACTTATCTGTACATGGTTGACCACACTTATTTGTACATGGTTGACCACACTTATCTGTACATGTATGACCACACTTATCTGTACATGGTTGACCACACTTACCCATATATGGTTTTTACTGCACTTATCTGTACATCGTTGACCACACTTATCTGTACATGGTTGACCACACTTATCTGTACATGGTTTTTACTGCACTTACCTGTACATGGTTGACCACACTTATCTGTACATGGTTGACCACACTTATCTGAACATGGTTGACCACACTTACCCGTACACAGTTCGACTGGATCCTGCCAGCAGTAATCATCCAGTAAGGCAATATATATGTAAAATATTATTCACGGAGGATTAGTTTTCTCGTGAATTTAAAAAAAATCAACTTCATACTGGCTTAACGAATTAACATATCTCACAAATATAAACAGTTTGAATAAATATATTTATTTTAATAAAATTGGCCTGTTACATTTGCAGAAAAATTGCAATAGTATATCAATTTGCAAACTTTATATGGCATTTCTGCCAGGTTTAAAAAAACCGATATTACGTTAAGGTATGTGTTGTTATATACACAGTCAGAATGTTCTATTGAACTCTGACACTTTCGTGACCCTGTAAGTTAATGATGTGGGCCTTAATGTATCGTGCGTATTGCCCATTAAAATCTCATTAGAATATTTTCGATACAATCCTCATATTATTGGCTTATCTCAGAAATATGTTTGATGATGTATACACGAACTTCGTGTAAATAATAATAAAAAATAATCGTTTTAATTTATTTTCTGCCAGGGAGTAGCTATAATGAACATTTCATGATGAATATAAGCTAATCCAAAGTAATCTCTATCAATCAACTCTCACTATATATATATAAAGCATGCGTTTTCGTCGCTGCATAACACGAATGTCATGTAATATTATCTATCAATGCATTTTATATTGAGTATATGACATAATATAGCCAAACACACCATTAACCATGCGTGCTTCTTCTGTTAACGAGCTATTGGTTCGATGTAGGAATATATGCTATTGAAATTCACCACTGTTTATAAAACTCTATGAAGGAAACAGATAGATTTGGGAGTCACAAATCGGTAGTCAAAGAGTTGTTTAAGTTATGGACACGTAATGTGTTAGCCTGGTTTTATTTCTATATGACAAACATTGCTCTTGTACCTGTGTAGTTGTTTTTCTATTACAGTCTTTACTGTTCATTAGACAATTTAATTGTTGTATTTTAGCAAAGTTTGTTTTTCTGTTCATTTACATGCATTTATTTCTTTGACTAATAGATTTTCAATATATATTTCTGATAATGTACATCTTTTCACTCCTAAAAGGACGCTATGGAATGTTTTGAAACCGTTAGCTACAGACAGTTTAACCTTTAGCAATAAACACATACATGTATCCCCCTACAATTCAACTTATTCATTTAACATGCTCTAAACAAATAATTGTAAAAATGAGATTGAACATTCTTTTTTATGTTAGTCTAGCTAAATCGGTCATGGATTAATTCGAGCGATGCATTTCGAACGTTTAATTATAAATGCAAAATTTTGTAGATCAAAATTGCGCAATACCTTAATATTAAACACCCTGCTGTCTGATAATTGCCTACATTTCGGCGATCGTAACACGACCAACATCTCAGACATGTGTTTATGTTACTGACAAAGGGATATTTACGATAGTTAGGTATTTGACTTTGACGACAATATTTGACCTTGAATCTTATCAGAAGGTGACGTTTTGAATGAATTTACTGGAGAGGCGCGTCCTACAGAGTTGTATAACACACAAAGCTCCTATTACACCAACACTACTCTGACGATCGCGAGTAGTACGCCAACGCGATGTATTTTTTTTTTTATTAAGCCCAGATTTTTGAAATGCTCATAAACTTTATCCCCTACAATTAACACTGGGAATTTGAAATGCAATTCCACTGCATTTTTTCGAGGTGTTGAATTAAACATCGCCCCCCCTCTGATTTTCGATATTTTTATGCTTAATTGACATGTAATTTTTAATTGAAATAGATATGAAGCATTCGAATAGTATTGTACTGTGGAACAGTCTTATTGCTTAGCGTTAATCGTCAAATTCCCATCCCGATGATTTGTACGTCAACACGTGGTTTATTTGTGTGGTTTAAGAGCGGGTATACGTTCAAATCCAAGGGTTCTCACGTTTTACCTTGCCACCATGTATAAGGTCTACATATGTATCTACAGCCTTAACTTCACCCGTATAAAAACCATGATGGATGATAGTGGTTACACTAAATGAAGCTATATATACGGGGCTCGAGCTAAATGTTTATATATTTTATATTCTTGCACCTATAACACTTTTCTTTTGGAAATCGTTTATACGTTGTATTTATTTTCACGGAATTTGCAGAATTTTTTGATTATGAAATGAGAAGCCTCACTTTGTACAGGATTTGTAATGAATTCCCGTTGGATACCATGTATATTTCACAAGTATGGAAGAATACCGATAATTTTTACTTTTAATCTGCGAGTTAAAATCACACAAACATTCAAAGCTAAATGTAACAGAAATTTAGATACATGTATCTTCACTTTTAACGATTACCAATTTTACATTTTTTTTGGAAAATATAAAACTGTCTATTTAAGACTTTTATTTGGTTATACAACAATTATGAAACAAGCTATTTCAAATTATATTAATCACTCTTGTTGGCCCGGATGTTATCGCACGGGGGTCTTATTGTGGGAGGAAACCGGAGTACCCGGAGAAAACCCACGTGGTCGGGCAGGTGACCCCATATCTTTTCACGTCTGATCGGGGAATCGAACTCTGGTCGCCTTGGTGAAAGGAAATTGCGCTATCCACTGCATATAACACTGTAGTTAACAGAATTTATAAGGTTTCACCGGATTCTACATCTTGAAAGCCTTATATATGTTCGCCGCAATACATTTTTGCCCAATAGTATTTTGAAACAAATTCTCCCAAGCGGTAAATTCGTTCCTGCATATGGACAAGTACTACTCAATAGCACTCTTCCTGTTCCAATTATTGTGCCAATGGGTTAACCATGGTAACCGATGTAAACTCCCTCGAACAGAGAGAGTACAAAGAAGAGAAGTCGTCCAGGATATGCTCAATTCCGTGATACATCTTATATGATGTTTTACAAGAATATAGCAATATTGTACAATATTTCCATACTTGTAAAACCATGTATTGATATGTCACGATTCATTTAAGAAGTTCCGTTAGGGATATTCTGTAGACGTTTCAAGATGTTCTTTATTTTTTTAGCCTTTCCGAGCAAAGCCACCTGCGCAGGAAAATGACAGAGAACATGGCCTACTTTAGTAACAACGATGACTGGAGTTTTTGTGTAAAAGGAGACATTCGTTCGCTGGTAACTTAATCCTTTCCCCTGTATTCGTGAGCATGAGTTATTTTATCATATAGTGTATTTGACATACTTGAAGGAGCAACGACAGTAACCAATCTCTTTCTATATATGATTTAAATATTTGTGATTGGTGAATATTTTGTGAATTGCAGTTCCAAATTGAACAAATAAATGACTGTTTCAAATCATTACAACTTGTCACTGTGCTATCAATGCTAATAATAGGCGCGAAATTCAATATAACATTAAACAATGATAGATAGATACCACACAGTTTACAGAAATTCTATCAAATACTGTAATCTGATGCTTCATATTTCATGATAGAAATATACCTGTCTAAGTCTTAAAACAAGATATTTAATCTTGTTTCATTGAATGTGTCTGAATCGGAGTAGGTTTTCAACCATCAATAGGTCGGAGATAAATTAGACGATAACAGCACTTTACTTTTAAACAAAATACAAGTATCTACTTGCTTTCAAGGTGCTAACGTTATTTAAACATTTAAAATGCAAATATATTCAGGTAAGTATACCAGTGGGAGATAACCATACCGGTGTAATAACTGATTAGGAAATTGTAAGAATGTAAAAATAAACAACTTTTCACAGGAGTGACTCTGAAACTGGGAAAATAGATTTCAATGTTGGTAATATGAACTTCGTTAATTGATTCGTAGAATATTTTAAGAAAAATGTGTGCATTGATAATGATGAGTTTTTAAGCAAGACAATATGACCACAGGTAAATTATGTAAGGTACTATTATTTAAACTCGTACATATTCTCTGTAATGATATTTAACATATCACATGACGTTTTGGATATTATATTTATGTAAGGTAATAGGCCTAACTGTGTGGGGATTGGGTAACGCCTTACACGAATCTGTAATGTATCGTTATTCGTTTCACCCCTACTTCCTTTATGCAAATTTTGTAATATTTGTTTTTTATATATATATTATAACATCATATCACCATGACATTTGGGATATATTAAGTAACTGCTGGAATCAATAGTATTGCATATACAAAGTGCTTCCAGTGTAGGGTTTAGGGTACGCCTTGTATTCATGATGTACGTCACGATTTAGAATTCTGGAGGGGAAAAAACCCAGCTACCGTCTTAAGTTAAACACCTTTTCGAATATAGAGTTATTCGTTACATGTTTTCGTACCAGTCGGTGTAAGTCTATCCGTGGCTTACTGTATCCTGTACCTGAAACTCGAAGGTATTTCTGTATTCAGTCCATGTAGTGCTATGTAAGAGTATTCCAGTATCTTACGAATGAAAAATAGAAATAAAAAAATGAAACCAACAAAATTGAAAAATACTTAAGGTTTAATATTCATACAACGGTATGTATATATATATATATAAATATTAAACAGCAGAATTCAGCAATATACGCTTACATTGGTCGTTATATAACGGTATATTCGAGGTTAGGCAACTACAGATAGGGTTTGTATAGGGTCTCATAAATCAGCTACATTTGCCCAATCAAAACAGTCTGTAGAATAAAACTTCGGGGTCACAAAAGTGCTTGAAGACAGCGGGAGAAGAGCAATGGCTTGATAAACGGGGAGCGGCTGTAAACGAATATTGCAGAAAAATGTATATTGTTGTGTCAAACGCATATGTAGTGATACCGAGCTCTTCAGATTAAAGGTATATAGGTAAATAATTAATGACGTAATACAACGTACAGGAGGGGTTGTAGGAATGTGTCCAGTCATATAAGTATTGGCGATTATTGATTTTGAATTGTTAAACTCGAGCTGTGTAACTACCACGGAATGTTACTTATTAAAACGATAACGTTCTACATGTTTACCTGTATATTTCCTATAAGTAATGTACTAGAACATGAAATGCTGTTTTCGTTAAGCTTCTTATATAATAGAATATACCAAACCTGCGACCACTGAATTAATATGTATATAAAAATCTGAGAGAAAATAAATCATGTTTTTTAACTTGCAAAAAAATAGATAGATAAATAAATAAATAGATAAACAATCTCTTTGGGAGAATAGTTTCTCTGTGTATAAACGTTAAGAAAGGATAGCTTGTGATTCCGTATAAACACGTTTTTTATGTTCAATATTATAGCATTATTTTTCTATTTGTGAAAGAATAACAAAAATGGTTAATGGTAAACATTATACACAATTAGCAATACAAATATTAATAAGGCATATACTATACATTGCTAATGAGTATATTTTCGAAGGAGGCGTATACATCATAGTTATTTGAAGGTTACAGCAATATTACAAAAAGCTTTAACGCAAGATTACAACAATATCAATGCTTACTCTTCATGCATAATGTATACCATTTCCAGAACTGTGTTAAACATGGTTAAAACTGTCTATAAAGTAAAAAAAACAAAAATTAGATAAGTAGATAGCTTAAAGAAAACAATTTCTTCATTAAAATATACAGATTGTACATCAGACTTTTGGTCTATTTTTATATTTGTCTATTTTTAAATTTACTTGCATATATATTTCTTGTTGGTGTTTTTCATTTAATAATAATCAAATTCGTATTTAACTAGGTAAGTACTTTAAAGTTAGTTTAAGAAATTTCAATCACACTACACGAAATTTGGTATCTTATTTTCAAATCAGTAATTTCTGGCAGTAATTGAATGAGGACATAAAGGCAAAGCTTAGTTAGCTTGAAAAAGGAAAGAATCGATATGATATTATGACGTTGTATTCTATTGTTAAGGTGACAAATCTAAGCGTAACAAAACAGAGGAGCTCGTCCAACCAATCAAGGTTTCTTCGGAAACCAATCTTTTCAGCCAATCTGAGCAAATAATAAGCACCTTTAAAGAGAGTTATTAAAACCCTTATATTACTGAACAATCGCCGATCAAACAGTAGATTATTGGCTAGGATTACATCACTCTTTTCAACATGTCTACCCTTGTAACAAGTTAGTAAGATAACCTCGACATTATAGTTTCTCTGTCAGACAACACTCAGAAATTCAATTGCATAGTTATCTTTATATTAAGTTACACTAAATGAAGTTAATATTCAGTTAGTCTCATTTCATTTGTCGTTACGATTAGCACTGGCCAATTAAATTCATGTATATGGGGAAATAATATTCATATTGCTCTTACTCAAAATATAAATACATTTTAATAACGTTTAATAGGAATGAAGACACATGTAAAATTAAGAAATTAGGTAATAATGTAGATAATGCGACACTCCCGACTTTACAGACACCAGAATGTATAGAGAAATCCAGTAATTACCTAAATGTATTTTTACGGTCACAATTCGCCAGTTGTATTTAATCACAGTTTACCAATCCTTAATTAAGTTTACACACTGAACTATCCTTTATGTTCATAAAGGCCGTAAACGTTGGATTTTCTGTCTTTCATCTGGCTTTACTGTCGTATCCGACTAAATAAAACTTCTGATGTCGGTTAAGTCTGGTTTATTGTCACACTGTCATGTCGGACCAAATGGTATTTCTGATGTCGGTTAGATATAGCCTACGCCAGGCTTTCATTTTCGTGAATATCACATTTTTCTTATCACAATTACATATCTATACATCACAGATCCAGTAATAGCCTTCAGCGGGTAATCGTTCAAACATCTTAATGACTTGAATTTTAAAAAGAGATTCAGTTTCTTTTTAACGCTTTGGAGTGAACTTTCAAAGTAAAACCACGCAATAAACACATTGCTGTTACCACTATTATAATCCCCATACCGTGCTGACACATACGCATTTTCACTTCATCCTTTGGATAATTCTTCTTAGAAACGTTTATTCACTCATGTATTGTATCACAATAACGATATACATCAGTATTTGCATATTGTCTAAATTTAACTACTCAACTAAGCAGTACATCACTATCACATATATGTCCAGGTTGAACTTGACTTCGATTTCTGGTAGAAATGATGAATATTCCTACGCGGGTTTGGAGTTCCGAAGTCTAAGGATGCAGCCCCCATGGCCGACCTTGACCACACTGACCGCGCCTCTGACGGGTTTAACTTTAGGACATCATTGCGTCCTCGCGGCGAAGTTTCCTCTAATCTCTCCATGAAGCTCTTATTGACCTCATCCCACTGTTTACATACGACGTCAAGCTTTGGCGTAGTGGCAGCTCCACGGAAACCGTGATGATTCGGCTTATGTCTGTCCTCTTCGGGTCCTCTGATTATTGTATTATTATGAGTGTCCAGTTTCGGGTGATTCAGTATGACACTGATGCTCCTGTCATCTAGACTAACAGACCCTTTACCTTCGCTAGGTTTATGATTCCTACAGTAGACTTGTTTGTCACTTTTATCGTTGAAATTTTGGAAGTAGTTTTTGACAGTGAGTGCAGAACCACATGTACAACAACGAAAACACTGCTTGTGGAAAAGAACCTTTCTGATCGGACCTACCTTATCGAGTTGGTAAACAGTTTTACCACATTTAAAGCAAGCATCCTCGTCAGTCTGGTAAGTGAACGCGTACGACATGTAATCGGGCGGTGAGGTAGTGGAAGAACTACGACTTCTTGACATAGGCGATCTGTCTCCTATTGGTGACAAAGCAGGAACAGTTGGAGATGATATCTGCATGACAGATTTGGATCGTTTTAAATTTGACTTTGGCTTGAAGTCCAAATCTTTAACCTTAGGTCTGGTAGCCTTTCTAGTCAGCGCAGTAATGTCCGTCAGTACTTGGAACTCATTTTTGGGTTTAATGGTTTCCTCATCATCCTCCGGGTTAGGAGGCGGAGGAAGTTTTGGCACATTCACAGATATAAATTTGTAGGTTTTGCATTCCACATCTTCGTCCGGTTCGTGTTCCTCAGCCGTCCCCCTCACCAAAGGTCGTGAGAACGATCTTGCTGCACGCGTGACATCACGGAGTTTAATAGCCTCCACTGTTGTCTCGTCATATGATGTCATACCGTGTGACGTCATTGACGAATCAAAACTAAGGTTTTGTTGTTGTTCTATTTCCGCTGAAATCGGACAGCTCTGAGTGCGAATGTGTGGTCTTACTGGGACAATCTGCCGCCTTGTAACTGTTATAGAGGCCAAAGGTCGTTCTGTATAATTTCCCTCGTGTTTTACAGATTTGATGATATCCTCTTCATTTAAAGACAGTTTATGAACATCCGAAACACTATCGTGATTATTCGGTATCGCGGAATCATAACTCAAATCCATCTCACTTGAATAGTTACTATCGTTAGATTCAACACCATTTTCTTCACTCTTTGAAGACGATTCATCGTCTTTTTCATCCGTTAAACCTGTGTTATAACTTAGAAATGAATCATCATTGTTACTATGATCGAAACCTTCGTCACTTTTATAATCTAAATACCTTGGTTCCGTTGTCAGCGATGTCTGCATGTGAAAAACATCATCAAAGTCTTCCTCGATCGGCTGCCATGTTTTAAGTGTCTTAATTGGAACCTCATTTGGACACCTAGCTTTCCAAACCATCGACAATGGTCCAAGGACATCCTCCTCCTCACCAGACATTTTGTAGACTTTTTCTACACTCACAGATTAAAAAATATTCCCTGGAGTACAACACATTCATATGCCGGTAATATTTACCTGTTTAACAAACCAATGAACACCAATCCCTTTAAAGTTAAATAAATCCAATACGTTGACCTTTTTCACTTCGGTTCTCAAACCGTTGATCCGTCGTTCATACGATTAGTACGAAGTTAAAGTCGACAGTGTAAGTATTTGTAGGACTGGCTGTTTACTAAATCCATCAAGTAACAGCAGGTGCACAGGTCCTAATACCCTGCTTAATAAAGCCACGCTACTGCCAATATATATATATATATACGGGTGGAATGAATATATCCTCCTGCTTACTGGCTAATTTGATCTTGCGTCAATATACACTTTCTTTATATATACAGAATGTATGTATTCCTATATACAGCAGGTATAGGTAAAAACCTGTATGGGCAAGTTAACAGCAGTGGTGTATAGCTTCCTAGCAGGTAATTCAGATGTGTATCGGTCGTATAACGTCGCTTTATATACGCACGTTTCTATAATGTCACTGGCTCTGTGTCAGTAGATTTGTTATTCTTTCGTGACCAGAAACGTGTATTGTTCTTAATAACAACTATATCGTGAAACCGTTATCCACACAGTTTGTCTAGATCTATATGACCACCCTTGGAAAGTTATTAATCCACTCTCGATGTATGTAAACGTTGAGAGATATTATCCCATGAAACAATATTTTCGTGTAGATCGACCTATGGTATACTTTGAAACAGATATATCCTGTGCTATAGTGCACTTTCCTGTCTATCAAAATGTGTTGGCAGTATATTAATCCGTACTCGATCTACATAGACTATCCCATGGGAAAACATTTGTGTATTCCTCTGTATACGTATTCTTTCAACAGGTATACTTAGAGATATTCCGATAGCACTGTAAAGAGATCCTTCAAGTCAATATGTGGTATTATGGTAACACTTGGAAGTCTAAATGCTACAATGGACCGAATGCCCATTGTTTATAGACATTACGGTCACTTGAAAAAAATATCACAAGTCGTATATATACGTGATATATATCTGATTTTTTTTAAAATAACCACACTCTCATGTGTACACAAGCCTACTATTTAAGTAGTTCGATCAGCACAAGTTTCACGTTAGGCGTAAACACAATCTATACCTTTGTACCTGTACAAATTGGTACTGAGAATACGGCTGTATTCACATTTTAAAGGTACACGTGTGCATACGCGTTCTGTTTATATATATGTTATTGCAACCTTGTGGAAATACAGACGCATACGTGTACAAACAAATAAAAATATTTGTCTGTTTGGTAATGTAGGGGGTACTCTTTAAAATGTTAATGAAGGCTGCTATCAGCTAGCGAGGCTCTTGAGAATTGCTTTTAAATCATGCTACAGAGGCATTCCTGACATTCATGTTACAGACATATGTCCACGGAGGAGTGTAGTGACCGCCAGGTGCTGCCTCAGCACAGCACTGTCTGCCTATGTGGGCAGAAGCCAATGTTTATTTCACAATCGATAATATTTACTGTGGGCTTTGCCGTTCAAAGCCTTATCAACATTTCGCATTTGAGTTATCAAGGTGAACAACCGTCATTCAAGTTACATTTCAATCAAAATTTAATTACATTTCAACATTTCAACATTAAGTGGGTGATTCTAACTTCTCGATGTCGAATTTGTGATATCCTGGTGAGTAAAGTGTCCACGTGCTGTTGTTGCCGATAACGAAATTTTAAGCTAATTATACTCATACAACCTGACTATGGCATATACAATCGATCAGTAAACATTGTTGTACTACATAGTAAGCTATGATCACCTGTACGAGATATAGTCGTTTGAGCGGGTATCTGAATAGGCATGTAGAACTCTTCATATATCTAACGGGATCTAACAAAGCCTGTCGTCTGCTCATTATAACTGGCCGCCGATGATACCGATAAGAGGTCGATACACAGCTCAACAATTAATTGTTACATTCCTCTATCGCTGGTGACCATCGTGTTTCTACACGTTATTATGTATAATACACATTTAGTCAAAGTGTGGTTAGCTTGAGGATGAACGCATGTCAATAAGCACATGTTATATTTTCTTTAAAGTAAAAACAGTTGAAACACAATGAAGAATGAATATCACATGATTTATAATAATCATCAAGAAAAAATATAAATGCACTTGCAGTTTAATAAGTTCTGTGAAACTAATGTTATTTCAAAATAAATAAATATATGTATGTAAGTTGAGGATACTGTTTTAATTGTGTCAGGAAATGTAAACCATTCAATATACTCATACAACCTTATGATTCATAATGATAACAACTGATAAATATTTACTAGGGAAAATAAAGCATAAAAGATTGATTGATACTTTGGTTCTCGTTCATGTTGCGGAGGCTACCATTTACGAACAAGAACATATTACTATCAATATTCATTCTTCATCAATTCTTTGACTGAGAGATCAATCATTAGAAATGCAAAATCTAAAGAAAGAACATATAACTTGCATGATAAACAGTAAAGCTTAAACTGTCACTATGTGTTAACAATACAGTTAGATGAAATATCTTTAATAATGAATCGATTTCTTATTATAAGCAATGAAAGTCTATATTTGAAGTATACAGTGTACGAAGAGTGATTGATGTCTTAGGAATCCCTAAACCTTTATCCTTGTTATAGGGATCTGTTTCAATTTCGAGCGCAGTATGGTCTTCTGATAGAATTAGCAAAAGGTTCAAATATACCTATTTCAAAAATATGCAATTTACACATTCAATACGGGAAATCTACGATATATTATTGTTCATTTTTTTCCAAACTGCTGCATCTTAGACAGCAGATTATTTTTTCAGCCCCCTATGTCCGATAACTAGAGACACTAAAGGTAAAAGGCGATTAACCTGTTTTTAAGTATGGTAGTTTAGTGTCTCGTCTTATCTTAAATATGTAATCTATTTTACTGTAAATATATGTTTCATGAATTTGACCATAGACATCATGGCGATTTAGACACACTTTCATAAATTTCACCTGTAGCTTATGCCATCAAAAGTTTTAGTAATATTAAGTTTCAATACACATACTTTCATGTAAATATTTATTTTGTTCCTAGTTAGGTTTCGATACACAGGTAACTAAAAAGTAGTAAAAAATAACTTCTGTTTTAACTGGAATTATTATTTAACATTAACAGCATGAAACATAGGATCTAAAAATAAATCCAAGAAAAATAAAATGAAAATTAAAGGAAGTGTTAAATACCAATTACAAAGATACTTCGTCGTTGTTTGTAAACACTATAGTATGTTTCAGACATACGATACCTTAGTTTTGGATAAAAACACATTTAGCTATCTAATATTCTTGATATATTCGAAGTGGGCAGTGGCTAGATCTTACACCAGCTTTTAAAACCCGAGTTAAAAAAAATGATCGACGTTATAGTAATTTATTATGTAGCCTATCAACATTTCAGTGACAAGATTTTCGACTGCTAAAGTATGTTCTTCCACGTCCATGTAAATGTAGGTATATAAGTAATTCCGTTCTAGTTGACAAAATTGAATACAAAACCTCATTTGCAGTCACAAGAAAAATTACATTATCATATTTTTATATTTCAAGAATGAACGTTATATCGAGTATTTACAACCCAGTTGAAAACATGAATTCAGATAATGTAGATGTTATATAGGAAAAATGATACTATTTATAGATTCTTAAAGACTTATTACATGTACATGTATAGAGGACATGAAGCTGAAGTACGTGAGTTAGAGTCAAACTAATTTATAGATCATCATTGTACATGTAGAGGGGTAAATTCTGAACACTATAATTGGACAACAACAACAACAACTGATAAGACACCAAACAAAAGGAAAGACCTCATCAACCTGAAATAGAGGTTAAATCAGATGTCCCGGATGGAAGTTTTTCCCTGTAAAGGACCCCTGTCATGATGTTCCCTCTCGCATTATATGAACAGATATTGGTGACCACCGGTGTAAAACGAAGCGATGTAGTGTAATCGTTGGTTAGGTCGGGATGTTTTGCTACCGAATAGGTTCACCAATATTCGTCTGACAAGAAAAGAAACATAAACAAAATATAACGTATAAAGTAATTGGGAATTGGTGTGACGTTCCCGACGATTGGCCTCACTCTCACTAATTCTGTCAACGTGTGTTAGATGTGTGTTATGTTTAAATATACTGGCCGTGTCAGTTAGATGGATGGACATCATACTGAACGTATTACTCTCATTCACCGCGGTCAGTTCACAAATACAGCCTGCTATTTCATTATAATATAATGGCCCCTGTTTATTAAAAACGGACACAGTCCTTGGTCACACACTTTGTAAACCTACACTCATGTAAGACATGTGACTTATAGTAAGGCCCTTTAATAAGATAAATTGGGTGACTTTTCCAATACGATATGGAAACGGCAAAATAAAACTAGTATCTTTTTATGATTTACAATATATAACTTGCTTTCCTGAACAATCATATTCTTTAATATCTGTATTCCTCAAAACTCGTATTCACTGTACACAAATATTAAAGGGACAACACACAGAGAAACAATTTAAATGCTTTCCTTATTTTGAAGTATCGACCGACTGTAATGTATTGAAAAATAAAGATAATTTGCAGTACGGTATTTAATCTAACATAATTGCAAGGGTAACCAGATATACAGAAATATGTGTTACTGTACAATAAATGGGGCATTTTAAATATGAATAAATATTTTTGTTGATTGATTCGTACGCCCTAGTGAAAATTTGAAATCAGATTCATTCTCTAGGCTATTCCGTTATTACAACTCTATACAGTCGACATATATATTCTTCTGTCGTAATGACTGCTATATGTGTATCAGGTATCTCTCACATTTAAGTAAATGGACTTATTTTTGTATTGGCGTCACCCAGGAAGAAAATCATGGAAACCAGTAAACACTTCATACAAAGGGAATATCGTCGTTCGGTATATAATTATGCCAGACCATTTAAAAGAAAGGTAATACAAAATACTTTTTGTGTAACTGGTTTTTCCACAATTTCTTTTCGACGAACTCTGTGAATATAACCTTATGTGAAATTTAAATCTACCAATACAGTCGCGACACCTGTTTCTATATCTTGTATTTATGGTTTGGATAAACAGGTACAGTTCCCTAAGGAATGTCTGTTTGGATACGCAAATAATTCATTAAGTGTCATGTGTTTGGATATGCAAATAGAGTATGCATCTTCTCCTTCATGGAGTTTATGAAATCATTAGACATCCAGAATAGGCAGAGCATAAATTTACTCACTCAATAAAAGAATTTATTAATAAAACCGCAATTGGCTGTCTGTTTGTCTATCGAAAGCAAAGAAGACATTGATATAAAGCTATTTTTTAACATTTAACAATGTCACATAAGATTTCATGCATAAAACGATGGAAAGGAAGCTTAACGTAAAATCGTCAAAACAATTGAAGTTAAACGCAAAGCCTGACAAGAGTAAATAAAAAAATGTCACATTGACACACGTTTGATATACTAACCCTAAAGTTCTATCCATAAATGGAATTTGTTTATTTTTCTGGCTTCTTTGTTTCTAATTACAGAACAAAAGACAAAGTCTAACCAAGGCCGGTAGCATACGTACATTAAAATAAACAAAACAATTACATATTTATCAAGATGATAATTCATAAAATTAATACTGAAATGATAATCTATTCTAAAAGCTCTATTTTAAAGGTGAGCAATTCTGTATTTCAATATTCATAAATTTTCTGTTTACCTTCCATACGTCTCATTAAAAACAGTATTGCATAAGCCCCTTATGAGTAATATGCAACAATAAATGTCTTGTTGATCGTTAATCAAAGGAATTAGGAATCTCAAATATCAACTCTGTGCAGGTGTGAAAGTACAAGCACAGGTAGATGGGTATAAGTACACCTGGAATACCGTAACACTGAGCGAACCTGATCTTGACACTCTAGAGGTATGCCAGAGTTTTTGTCAATAAAGACAGAGGAAACGCACCACAAAACAAATACAATTACTGATTAGATAAGAAAACATATTAAAAAGGTAAGAAGTATAAAAACTCGAAAGCGACCATTCGCAATGA